TCATCAAAACATATTATCCATGTTCATCACAACAGTCCAAGAAACTAAGAAAGATATCCTCAATCCTATAGAGGGCATGATAATTTTTTTATCACAAGATGCATTTAGAACTCGAAAACACAAGAATATGGAAAGAAGAAAATAAATAACATTATTATCTATTAGAGACTCTTCATCACATTCCCTTGCTAGCAAAACTAGTAAATTGACCTGTATGAGAAAACATCATAAGTCCAACATCGATATCACTTAACATAGATAAGTCAGCAACCCTCCTGAGAATGCTATCCATGTGTTTTTATATAAGTCATATGACGAGACCAAGAATTGCCATTTTTCTTCTTCTTGTGAACTATGATCAAAGGAATTTGGATAAGAAAATGAAGAAATAAGAAAATTGATGTAGACTACAAAGAGAAATGGAGTTTATATAAGAAGGGAAGAATATGAATTAAATTTTTGGGGCTATGCAATAGGGTAAAATACGCATGGTAATATGACAACTGTAGAAAAAGTCCCTTGATCATAATCACTAAGGGATTTTCTTTGGCCTGATAAAGCTTCCGGAGTAAATTGTAGATATCCTTGAAGTTAACTATGCCGAATAAAAATTTAAATGATCCAAACCTAAAATTAGAGTCTGATTAAAGCAAAAATAAAAGAATACCCTTAGAATGGTTTAGGGCATTGATGGGAGTTATCCAAGAAGGTCGCAACAATGTTTGCCAACCAAAACCGACGGATTGACATGTTCCGTGTGGCATTTCCGTAATGAAGTCGTACAAATTTAAAATAAGATTCGTTCTTCACAAAATAAGTACCATTTGGCCAACAGAGGGAATCCATGTTTGGTATGAAAGATTAGAGGCAAGACATAACTTTGGAAGGCTATAAAGTCATTTCCTCATAGGAATTTTAGAGATTGCATGCAGGTAATATACAAGCGAGATCGGATAAGATTTGGAATATAAGAGATAATTGTCAAAACATTAATATAAATGAGAGTAGTAGCTCACTTGTCAAGGATTTAGATTCAGATATTTTATAATTCCTTTATTCTTCTTCAATCACTCATCTAAGTAAACCATAGAATTCAAAGAACCAATATTCCATAAATAAATAGTATGCACTTAGAAAGGTAGAACAAGCAAACTGGAGCAAATCCAGTCTTCTAATGACTATGATGTTTGAATATCTGACTCTACTATGACCATCTCCATTAAACACAATCATCCATCTTTTTCACTAAATTGGACAGTTCTTAAACCCCACAAGAGCTCATTGCACATATAAATTACCATAAATCATGGAAATTAAAAGGAAATTGTTGAAGCAAACGAACAATAAACGTAAATTATAATAAAAACAGTAAAAAGATACAGAAGATAAACATCAGGAATCAGAAAAGGGGATCTTTTCAAATTCTGAAAATGACTCAACCACCTAATTCAGCTAATCAAAAAAACATTTTACTTGTCATTTTGTAAATAGGGGAAACATGCAATCTCAACATACCATGAAAAAAGGGGGAAGCGTTACTTTAAACTCATCATACGAAGAACCGAGCGGGAAAAGAATTGATGGGACCCAAAACTCAAGAAAACTCCGAAACAATTGAACATTTTTTTTTCTATTTCAAATTGAACAATTGCGAAGAAAAAAACCGAAACAAGAATCGAACACAACAACGGGAGAGTAACATGCTTTCTAAAGAAAATAACGAAAACCCAGAAAAGATTGGGGGAGGAAAGGAGGCAAACCAAGCTTTATGAATTCACCGGAAACCAGAGCATCGGCATAGTACTTTTCGTTGTAACGAACGGGGAAGATAGCAATGTTGAGTTTCTTTAATAGCATCACGTTCTTGTCCCTCACACCATCGAGTGATATTGCTACTTCTCGACCAACCGCCATTATTATTAACTCTCCAAGAAAAACAAAATATTTGGGGAGGGGATATAACAATGGCGTGGTGAGGGGATTGTGTACGAAGACAGAGGAAAGGTAGGCTTTGAAATTTTGGGGGGGAAACCATACATACGTGATGAGAATAATGGGGGAAAATTAAAATACGACTTTTACAGATGACACACAATTAAAACTGTACTTCGTGTTTTTGCAAATTTTTTGGATTATGACTATTAAATATGACACACATTATTGTAAGTCAAAAATCGTTCAGATTTTAAGAAACATGACATTTTTTATGACACATTTTTTGCAAGTCATAAATTAGCATGTGTCATCGTTCGTGTGTCATTAAAGGTATATTTTCTTGTAGTGCGAATGTCATTCACAAGATTCGAACTTGAGATGAAAGTCGTCGTTGCAAACACCTTAATCACTATGGTTTGTCGGGATTCGAATTTGAAGTTAATTAAGTCTTAATTTGCAAATAATGTGCAGATGTTTACCTTGAGGATATTCTTGTTGCTGAACTTTGGGGTGTTTTGCTCTATTCTTCTTCTCTTCTAGTTTTTGGCGAAAGGGTCAAAACAAGTTGAACTCATTGGATGGATCAGTGTAGTTTTTGTTACAAGTGTATTTGTTGCACCTTTAAGCATCATAGTAAGTTTATATTTTTTAAAATATTGCTTAACCATCTACTTGAATATCTGATTATATATATATACAGGGGCAGGATTCAATTACATAGTGTAAAACTTTTTAGTTTTACATTTTTTTAAGATCGTTGGATGAGAGAAATCAAAGGCTGAGATTAAAAGTAAAAAATATGAAAATATTACTGCTGAATTGGTCGTGTTATACTTGTTTTTGTACAGGTCCTTACTTTCCAGAATTTGTGACAAAACGGGTGAATTATGCATTTTTTTATTATTTGGTCACGGCTGGAGACATGGGCACGACTCTGGGCACGACGCGGTCTAACGTGGCAGTTTCTAGAAGGTCCAGTCAGCAGCAATTTCTAGAAGACTTCGTCCACACGCCTTCTGGAAGATTGACGAGCAGAGTTGCATTAGGAGACTAGTTTAAGTTTGAATTTAAATTTAAAAAACTATTATCTTTTGTATTATTTTATTATTTTCTTTGTTTATCCTTTAGTCATTGAGAGGCTATAAATACCCACTTGGGGTAAGCCTAAAAACATTATTCGGGATACATTCTTCTTTTCTCTCTAGTTTTTATAAAAGTTTTCTCTTTTCCTTTTCAAGTTCTTTTTTATTTTTCTTTATTTTCAAGTTTTATTTTTATGCTAAGTATGACTTTTGTCATGCTTAGCTAAACTTTTCATAAGCCGAGAGCTGTCGCGATGATTCAATTCCAACGGGAGAATTGAAACGGTCCCTTAATATCTTCGGAATATCTCTCTCAATCTCTGCGCTTATTTTTCAAAAATCAAAACAGTTTTCAAAATCAAAGATTGACTTTGGTCAAGAGGTTGTTGCGATTAAACGTGTGGGAGGAAGATTCGGCTTATAGAAAGCAATTCGACTTCCTGGGAACACACTTGGCGAGATAGCTTCGCCAAGAGGGAATTGAGATCGGAATTGACGGTTATAGAAACAACAATCCGAGTTGGTCGCCACGAACTTAAACGGTATTTGATCTACGACAATAGATGTTGTTAGAATCAATTACCGAAGCCGGAATCAAAGATTGTCTTGAGTATTCAGTATACAAGATAGAGTCACAAGGATAGTCCTTGTAGACAAAGTAACCGACGTGAATCCCGAAGAGAAAATCTTATTCGATGATCTAAAGGAAATTGAATCAAAGCGAAGCTTGAGGTTACTTTTACCGTATTTATTCACAATCTTCATACTCTTATTTTTATTTAAATTGTTTTTATTTATTTTTACCATTTTAATCTCATATTACAAACCCCCATTTTTTACTATTTTCGTCTTGTTAAAACCATTCAAACATTAAATTGTGATTTTTTAAGTCCCTGAGGATTCGACTCTTATTTCTCTATACTACGTATTTCCTTTATTTATTGATTGAGAATAAGAAATTATTTTGACAACACGTTGCAGAGGCACGTTATCCGTACCAGATGTGTGGAGTTCATGCCATTTTATTTATCAATTATGCTTACCATATATAAGTGCTATCATGTGGCTTTTGTATGGCATTTTTCTCACTGATTTATATATTGTGGTAAATATATCCGTCAGAAAAGACAATCCCAACTTAAATATTCAAATGCTTTCAAGTTTTGCTCAAGTTAATGACAAACACAACTAAAAATAATGTTTCTATATCTATTATTGGCAGGTTCAAATGTTATGGGATTCATCTTCGGGGTGCTTAAGATGGTGTTACATGTGTATATAGGAACCACACGACAGTGTCCGAGGATGTCAAGTTACCGGAACATAGAATCTGTTGCCAACGGGAGCACGGTTACGGATTCAGATGATCATCAGGTGCCAGAAACCATGAGTTCACCGGTGCCACCCCAAGTTCAAGATCATGGAATGATTGGGATGAGCTGTAAATTACAAAATTATCAACATGTTCGAAAGGAGAAAAATATGGACTTCCCTAACCCTTACCTGATGATAGGAACATGTGAAGCTTGATGGACTTGTATACATAAATCCCTCTATTGATCATCAGACACACACAAGTATACATATTGAAAAGATCTAGATATAAACATACAAGTGTAAACTATGTTGCTCGGATATAGATCATATAAGGAGAATAAAATTCCTTTAATCATTGAGACCATTCCAAAAATTTTATATTTATAATTTGTATATAATTTTCTTTCTCCTATATTGTAATATATGTGTGTGTCAAGTTGTCAACTCGATTATTTTCATTTAAGCTTAGAATTTTGAGTTTAGTTTAAATGGTGACGAGTTTAATTTTGAATATATATATATATATATACACGGAAATATTATCATTCAAAAACCCAAGAACGACGGTACATAAACAAAAGATTTATAAAATCAAACATACCCATATGAGATAGACACTTTGTATCTAGCGCTTAAATCCGAGTCCAAATAACATATATTGACATGTAGCTAAAACATAATCTCAAAATGAACCTAAAAGGATGGGAACAGAAGGGTATATAGGTATAGTTTTGGTATGAAATCCAGTGTTCCAATCTATATCACTAACCTATTCTTGCTTTGAAGTCATGTACAGGTTGAGCTCCTGCCCTTTCATCTTTTACAACTTTAAGAACAGACGACACGAGAGACCGAAAGCGGGTAAAGGAAGGTGTTGGCATACTGAAACGAGATTGTTCCGCCATTGATCAATGCCTTGCCGTCGTTGACGAGGCAGTCGTTGTAGTGAAGGCGTCGGAATGTTTTGGGATTGATGAGCCGAGCAGAGCTGAACCAGCCGCAGTTCAAGTGAATTCCCGAGATGTCGCAGCCGGTGACACAGACGTTCACAATCTCGACGGTGTACGTCGGAATGCCGCTGGGGAGTGGCGAAGTTGCTCCCTGGTTGACCACTATGTCGGCCTTGCTACACTTCTCACCTCGAATTCGATTTGGTTCCTTCACCATTGTTCCTACATACAAAAGCAATGAATAAAAACAGAAGAGCTTATTTGAATACAATGAAAGTACAAGGGGCTTATTTAAGTAAAGCCGTAAAATTTAGGGATTCATTTAGTGATTTAAGCCACATTAAAGCTATCAAAACTGGTCAACCTTTTCTTTACACCAATAAACAACACAAAAGTAATATGAAAAACCCACCAACCAAACCAATAAGGGGAAACATTTACAGACAAAATACAGTGTTTTAGGGGGGATGATTTTACACTTTACAGGAATTGCAGGAAAAAAGAAAAGAGACCAAATTTGAACCATTAAGGGGACACAAAGGGCAGCAAATTGCTTTAAAGTTGAAACTTTTTGTGTTCATTGACAATGAAAATTCATAACATAAATCGACCCGACCCCATGTCATGATCAGGCACACATTCGAGAACAACAGCAAAAACCCAGAATGAAAGATTCCATTTTGTAAATTACCATGAAGAAGCTTGCGGTTTGGAGTGGAAAGTGTGTTGTTTCCTTGCTTGATCCTCAGCTCCATCTGCTTCGACCCGAATGAAGCACACTGATCTGCGACTAAAATCGCAAAAACCAATAAAATTAGCATGAAAATGGAAGGGATTCAGTCAAAGAAGATGATGACGAATCCCCAGTATTTTTGAAAGTATTAAAGAAATAAAGCAAAATAAAATAAAGGGTATATATGCATGTAAATAAAGCACCTGGGAAAAGCAAGACGAGGAAGAAGAATAATACGCCGATGGAAACCGAGGACAGTACCAAAACGAAACGCCCATTCATCGCTGAAAGCAACACCTAACACTCGGAAACCCAAACTCAGAAAGGTAAACGAGTAGTGGAACTCTAAACGGCTGAGTTTGATACCGCGAGTCAGCCCTTAAAACGCCATTAAAAAAGGCTAGCAGAGAAGAGCGTTTCAGATTACTGGGAAATCTGCATTAAAAAAGCAATGGAGAGGAAGGTTTATATATATAAATACTACGAGAACATCACATCCCCATCCATCAAAAATTTGAAAAGAAACGAAGATGAGAAAACAACCGTCAGATCATAAGTAGGCGAAGCCTAGCAACAAAAGCTAGGCTTCACGAGCTCAACTTTAGGATCCGAAACCAAAACGACGGCTATTCGTACAAAATCTCTATAAAATATAAACAAAAAAAGTATTTCAAATTTTGAAAATGCTGAAAACGGAAATTTTCTCGAGAAAAGGCGAAAGAAATGTTTGCGTTGAAGAAGAAAAGAATTGACTCTCAAAGCTTAAACAAATGAAAAATAAAGGGAAATGGTGAGTTTTACTGAGTGGTCGACAAAGCAGGGATTTACAGTGCATTAAAGATGCAACAGCTGTGCAGAGAAGAGAAGCAGAGTGAGCAGACCAGATAGAAATTGCATGAAAAACAATAATATTATAATAATGATAAAGATGATCGATTTATTTTTATTAAAAAAAACCATATTTGGAGGAGAAGATCATCAAGGGCAGAAATGAGAAAACAGCAAAAATGGTTCGCATTTATTGAAGTAAAATCCAAATTTGGACTCGAATAAAAAACCCATTTTTGGTTTCACCTTGGAGACGGGAGATATAGTAAGGTAAGGATCGATACGAGAGTATATCATCCACGAAACGCGTGCGTTTGGGGTTCGATTTTTTAGCTTCAGAATCGAGCTGAGGATGAAGGAAGGTTACAAGTGCACGTGGCGTTTTTTAAAGGAGAAAGTGATGATGAGAAGGTTGATTAGACCAAACCTGTGGACAAAGTCACGTGCGGTCAAACATACAATCTATTAATGATTAACGATAGTTCACACGTGGTGTTCGGCTGTGCGGCTTTTAAAATAAGACTAATAAATGGTGTTATCGATTTAAATGGTTACTTATTAATAAAATATCAAAACACAAAATGTTATAATATGCGATGTAAAATGTTATACCCTAATCCGTTACGATAACAATTATAGTTGCATTCGCAAATATTACTGTTGTTTTTAATATAGGTTGTAGTAATATGAAATTATTATAAGTTGTGATAACAAATTCAATTGCGTCGAAAATATTATTGAAGTTTTTGGGCCAAAATATTGATGGTAATAAGTTTGCTACTTGAAAGAGAGATATTTGGTTGCGCCAAAAATGTTATCAGACGATAAGAAATTAGGTTAGGAGCGGAAAATGTTATAAATTGCTTTAACATATCCGGGTTTCACTCAAAAATATTATTGGAATTTTTAAAATGGGTCCAACAAAATAGCAACGGTAACAAATTAGGTTGTGAGCGAAAAATGTTATAAGTCACGTTAACAAATTCGATTGCACCCTAAAATGTAACCATAATTTATAAATCAAATCTAAGAAAATACCAACTATCATAAAATAGGTTGAGAGAGAACGGAAAATATTATATTGTTTGATAACATTTCCGATTGCTTATAACATAGCAACTTAAAATGTAAACCGTTGCAACTGAAATATTTATAATAGGTGATAACAAATTCATTTGCAACATAAAATGCTAAATCTGTTGGTTCATTAAGTTAAACTTAATTAAAGGAAAACATTTTCAATTGCAACCTCATTACTTGTATAAAACTTTAATTTAATAACAATTATTGAAATTTATGCTATGATGTTCGATACTTGTATGAAAGTTTAATTTCAAAAATAACATAAAAATATCAAGTATCAAAACTTATGCTATGATGTTCGATACTCGTAGGAAACTTTAATTTCAAAATAACTTTAAAATATCAAAACTTATGTTCAATATTTATATGAAAGTTTAATTTCAAAATAACTTTGAAATTATCGTTCAGAAAAAATAACTTTGAAATACCAAATATCAATACTTATACTCAGCGTATCGATACTTATAATGTTAATTTATTAAAAAAAATCTTTCAAATTTCGAAGTATCAAAACATAAGCTCTGATCTTTACTTAGATTTGTGGTTTGGTTTGTTTTTCTTAGAATTTAAAATATGATTTGTCCAATGTTTGCCTAACGTAAAACTTGTTATCGTCAACGAGTAAGAAACATTAAATTTTTAACTATAATTAGATTAGAAAGAAAATTATGAGATTTTTGTGTTTAAACGTTCTATATCAACTATATGTATAAGTTTGCAACTTAAAATGTTAAATATGGTTCAATACTTATTTCACGACAAGTATTGATACTTGTAACTAAGTATCGATACTTACCGGGATCTAAAATTGAGATTATCATTTTAAGTTTGATACTTATCATTTTCAACATAAAATATTATCAATACATATAACATTTTAGGTGATTTGACAAGTATCGATACTTAGTTACAAGCACTAGCGAAGCTAGCCTGTTACAAGGTGTCAAATGACACCCCAAAATTTAAAAAAACAAATATTTTTTTAATAAATTTAATATAAAAATATTTAAAAATAAAATAAAATAAAATAAATATATTTTTAAAAGAATGTTGGTACCTTTAAAAATAAATTTACACTCATTATTCGTTTTCATCAACTTTAAAAGAAAATTTACACAATTTTTAATTATGACAACCCAAAATAATTTTTTTTTCTAAATTTGACACCCAAAAATAAATTTTCTAGCTCCGTCTTTCGTTACAAGTATCGATACTTACCGTGAAACATATTCAAACTAGGAAGATCAAAAACTTATGTAAAATATTAAGTTAAAACCTGAAATGTTACCAGCACTAACCTAAAATGTTATATATTTAGTAACATTTCAGATTGCAATATAAAATACCTTCAATATTAAGTTGGAATCAATTTAAAATTTTAGATAATATTTTGGATTGCTATCGAAAAATTTACTAATTTTAGGTTGGTAACTGCTAACAAAGTATTTTCTGGTTGCCAACAAAAAATATTAAAATATTAGAAATTTAATATCATTTTCGATTGTATTAACTTAAAAAATTACCTTCCTTAATAATATTTTTGATCGTTTTCATTTTTACCAAATTTCTAACCTTAAAAAGTGTTTTTCTTTAGACTTCTATGTTCACAGGCCGCTGCAATAATTCAGGAGTATTATATTTATGTATCAGTTTATTATTTACATATAATTATTTAATTGACATAAATTTATATGTTTTAATAAAAATATCATGTATTATAATAAACGAGAACTATTTTCGTAATATAAAATAAAAATAAATTAATAATATAATTAAATAAACATAACGTCTAATTCAACTATAAGAAAAATATATAAATTACAAAAGAAAATAAAGAACATATTAAGAGATAAAACTATATACTATTTTTGTATTAATAAATAAATATTAATTAAACAAAATAAAACAACATAACTGACACATACAAAAACAAAAAATATAATAAAAATTACGATAAAAATAAAAGAGAAAAGAAAGTTTATGGTCGATAATCAATTTAATTTGAATATCATCATCAGTAATGAAAAAATACAAAAAAAATAAAAAATAAAAGAAGATTAACACGAAAAAGAGAAACAAAAGGCAACGGGAATTCCTTACATTTTTGTTAAATATTTACAATTCATCTTATTTTTAATATTTGAATTTAAATTATGTTAGAAATATAACTTATCTTATTATTTCACCCAATTAACTAAAATATTGTAATATGATGCATTACTAATACACGGTTTATATATCAAAACAGGATGAAAATACATGCAAGTAATAAGGGGTATCGATCATTAAATCTGGGACCATGCAATGGAAGAAAAAAAAGAGTAGTGATGGAGTTACTTTCCAGCCATTCTATAGAGAGAGAGAGAGAGAGAGAGAGAGAGAGAGAGAGAGAGAGAGAGAGAGAGAGAGAGAGAGAGAGGAAGAGGAGGGTTTTGCTTTGCTTGTCTATGTGAGGATTTAGGTGGCGTTTGGTTGGCATGAATCTCTTGAAATTAGGGTGAATTGGAATCTAATTCCACCATTTTTTCATGTTTAGTTCAAGTTTTTCAAGGGAATTGAAATCTCTCATGGCTTCAACTTTCCATCAAATAAGGGAAAGTGAATTCCATCCAAGAATGGATGGAATTCAATTCCCTTGTCGGAGGGAATTGAAATTTGATTATAATACCCTCATCAATTTTTTGGTAACTTATTCATATATTGAATAAAAATATTTTTTATTATTTTGGGTCGGGTCGGGTGAAACTTTATTTTGGCCTGGTCGGTTTTTTTAAGTGTGATATTCGAGTCAAGTCGAGTTCGGGTTTAGGATGAAAATTACCTGACCCAAAAATATATATAATTTTACCTTATATATTTATGAATAATTACAATAATACCCCTCTATATATAATTTTTTCCAATTAAGTCACTGTTTTTATTGAATAAAAATATTTTTTTATTATTTCGGGTCTGGTTGGATTTCTAATTCATATATTCGGGTCGGGTGAAACTTTATTTTGGTCGGGTCGATTTTTTTTAAGTGTGATATTCGAGTCGGGTTCGGGTTTAGGGTGAAAAATACCCGACCCAAAAAATATATAATTTTACCATATATATTTAGGAATAATTACAATAATACCCCTATATATATATTTTCCAATTAAAAAAATAATTTTATAGATTGATTATTCATTTTAATAAATTATAAAAATCGTTCTAATAAACATCATAACTTAAAATCATCCCAATTAGGGATGGACATGGGTCGGGTTTTTGGTCCACCCGACCCGAGAACAATGGAACCTCCATCCGAGCCCCTACCCGACCAAAATAAAGTTTCACCCGACCCGACCCGAATATATGAATTAGAAACCCGACCCGAAATAATAAAAAAAACCCATGTAATTTATAAAATAAACTAAAATTAAGCAAAAAAATGGTAATCCTGTCATTTTACATTACTGAAATAAAATTCATCTGACATGTCTGCGAACTAAACAGAATATAGAATTAGATTTCAATTCAATTTTCTACCAATTAAAAAGAATATAGAATTTGATTCTAATTCTTCACATATTCTAATTATTTCACAGATTCTACTTCCTTAAAAAATATTTCAACGAAACAATCGTCACATTAGGGTTTAGAGAGAGAGAGAGAGGTGCATCAATTGCCTAGTAATAGGTAATAGGGGTGATGTCCACACAAACTGGTCAGTAAAACATCCCATGGCGCATGGACACAGTCTCTGCCACTGTTACAG